AGACTCCCGGCGCACAGTGGGACGCAGGATCACGGCCCATGCGCCCTCCTGGGGGCGAGGCTCTGGGCCCTGTGCGGCCAAAGCACTAGCCTGGCCCCTGCCTGGCTCCGTGGGCTAGCCCCGGCGTGCACGCCCTGCCTCGCAAGGATGGCCCGGGACTGGAGTGGTGGTAGCGGCATTTTCCGTGGCAGCTGGGGCGGCTTGGGCAGGGCACAGCCAGACCCAGGCCATCCCTGGGCCAGCTACCATCAACAACAGTGACAGCATCAACAGTAACACCTGAACTCCCGCCATCAAAATCAAACCACTGATACAGTGTATCCAGCAGCCTCACACGTAGCCTGCAGGCCCAGCCAACCCCAAGCCCTGCAAAACAAGCTAGTAGCCAACAATACCCACAGCCTGCAGCCAGCCAGTGCTCTTAAAGGAACAGCGTCTACCAACAGCCTACTACAAGGACAGCTGCAACCTACAGGACATCGGGACAAAAACATACGCCCTTCCTGCCAGCATAACTACTGCGGAGCCACCTGTACAAGACCTCAACTGTGAAAGATCCCTCAGCACCATTGCCCACATCATCCACCCACTGCTGACCAACAGGAAACTAGCCAAGCTGGCCAGCAGCCTGCCAAGGCTGACCAAAATCTCCAACCAAGAAGCAAACATGAAAGCATCCACAAACACCACTGCAATCCTGCAGAAACAGCCCTGCATCTGTGAGAGACAGCTTTCTTCAATGGACCTTTCTGTAACACAGTTATGTTGCCACAACCTCATAACAGTTAGTATAATATATGACAGAACCTCAATATCCCTTTAACAATTAACCATTCTTTCCTTCAAATCTTGACAAGCTTTTGTCAAGAGACCACACAGAACATTAAGAAAAATATTACAAAAACAATAAAGAAGGGGTGGAGGGGATATGGATTTTCTCTATGTGTGCAAACCTACATTAACTATTCTTCAAAACAGAAACAATCACCAAAAATAACAACTGGTGAAGTGGAACCAGAAGAAACACACAGTCAGTAACCAATGCTAACTCACACTTATAGTTAAAAACCAGAACAGAATAAATATACAGAACATGTGCGAATGAAATGCGTGGAAGACAGCCACCTGTTTGAATGAAAATGTGTATGTGTGTGTGTATGTGTGTATGAGAATTCATCTACACTTGATATCGACAGTATCTCAATTAAAGGCACAATTATACAACATCACTTCAACCACAGCAAAGTCCTAAAGTAGCAATCAGTACCCATACCCCAACACATTCTCCTTAAAATAAAATTGATGTTTCTCATACAATTACACAAATACCCTCAAATAATAAGTCTTACATAAACTGTATTTACAAACCCTGAACAATTGAAGGTTGCACAATTAATAAAGTTATTACCAGTTTTAATAAAGGCCTTACCACCTAAGGCCCTGGTTAATATAGATGGTTAAGATAAGTTTATTCATGTTAAGAAATGTTTAAGAAAAAGGTTTTAAAAATTGTTCTGTAACTTGTTATAATTGTAATAAGAAAAGGGGAAATGTGGTTCATATTACAGGAAGAGTGCTGCAAGGCATCATGGGACTTGTGGTCTTTGGTACTGTATTGCACATGCTCGGTGGAATACTTCAATGTGATTGGATGAGAAGGTCGGATGTCACGGTTTGAACTGTCTATATAAACTCTTGTTGCTTTTAATAAATTTGATTCAGTCGCATGACACGTATGTGATTGGGTCCGTGCCCATACAAATGCTACACTTGTAGTGCTCAGGGAGATTTCCTGGAACTCGTTTAGAGCTATAGATGCGGCCAGACCATTTTCTGACTGGTGGGATGCATGTGCCCAATCCAGCCAGAACAGACCTTTCTGCAGCAGTCTGTTGTGTAGCTGGAGAATGACTTTGAGTGGAGTTAAGCTGATAAGGTAAATAATCTGAGAACTGAGAGCTTTGTATATTTTGTGTATACCTGCTAGCAGAAATGCAAACATTTACAGGGCTAAGAAGAGGCCAGGCTGACATCAGTAATAATGAGAGTGGAAGGAATATCCTAAAGATATATTGTGAACTTCTGGTGGTTTCAAAATATGCATGCTCAAATTAGGGATTTGGATATTTTACTTAATTTCTGTATATTTTACTTAGCTATTTCCCAGTTTAGCCAAGATGAGAAGCCTTTTGAGTCTCCTCTAAGGTGTTGCTTGAAAAACAGAGAAAGCTGTGCTGTCTTCTCCACCAACAGAGAAGTTGTAGGAAGCATTGTACTGAGGCAGTGCTCATCAGTTGCAAACTGGCCACTATGGTATGGTATAAGTGATGTTTCTAGTTATTAAAATACAAACCCAAGTACATCATTATGTCTCTAGTTGCTATTTTACTGTATTGTTGATAGAGATTGTCATAGAGCAAACAGGACTTCATAAATATTAAAATCTGCTGTTATCTAGAAGTGTTTTTTGCCAATTTTAATTTAAAGGAAGAAATTGGATTCCAGTTGTCCTTTGCTATGGATTTCCTACTGTTTCTTTATCTATTTTTGAATATCAATGAATAGCGGTTTCAGTTAGTCATTAATATTCAAGAAATGAAAATCTACTTGTTATCTCTTTGATTAATCCAGCCTATTGTGCATTATAGCATCAATCACAAAACATCGCAGATGGTAGTGAATTACTATGAGACTGCAGGAAACCATAAGGGATATTAAACTAAACTTAATCTTTTTAACTAATGACATTCTAAAATGAATGCAGAAGATAGAATTTCTCAATAAATGGCAGAGTGGAAGGCTTTCTTTGCAATTTCTGACAGATGTTCCTGTTCCACGTTTTCTCTGTGAAAGACATACCCACTGAAAATAAAGAAAATAACCTATCTTTATTTTTCCTGTGATGCCTAACAGAAAACTCAGGGAGAAAAAACTCTGAGACAACTTAGTTTTGAAGGTGAGATAAGGAAAGGATTTAATTCATGCCTCCAAGGCATAGGGTTGCAAGATGCGTGCACCTCTGCCTCAGGTGCTTACGATTTATAATATTTTCTGTCCAATCCCAGATTTTTCCACCCCCTGGCTTTTGCCCTGGTCCATCCCCGGTCCCACCCCTTGGAAATTGAGGCTGGGGTCTTTGAGACCCTTTTCTTCATCATCTTCATCTTCTTTGGGGTACAGTGGGCACACGGTTACCCAGTTCTTGACTATACTCTTGCGGTTCAGGCCAGGATTAGATGTCCTCAAATAGAAGAGGCCTATCTTAAAGAGAGACTAAACATTTCTAATGGAATTCAGAATTGGATATGGGGAATTGGGGTAAAAGGGTTGGGATATGTGTGTAGTTTCTGTGCTAAGGGTAAGGGAATAAATGCTGCTGCTTCTACTTATAGAACTTATAAAAATTAGAAAAATCAAAAAACTAGAAGGACCTTAAGGTATCACCTGGAAACTAATATCAGTCTCTGGTGAAACGGTTTTGAAAAAAGCTAATGTTCAGAAATTTCACTTGAAAGCTTTAGAATTTAGTTGTTAACTTCTTGTGCATATTAAAAAAAAAGGTATTTCAAGAAATCATTTTTAGGGTAACAAAAGCCTTAATAGCTAGTAAGATATGTTCACCTAGGTTCATCTTGCTATATGAAAGCTTTCCATAGGCAGTGCCTGTAGGGAAGGTTGTCTCTTGGTTTTTGGTATTTGCAGGTGTACAGGAATGAGTTTCCTAAACCCAACTACAAGTTTCCACTCCTAAAGGTGACTGGTTGGTCTAAAGTATATTAAATTTTGAAGAAGGTTGTAGAAATTATAGATGCATAAATTGACCCAACAAAATATGAGTTGTCCTTAAAATGAGTTGTCCTTTCCAGTCAATGTTTAATTAGATATGATTTTTACGGATAGTCAGGTCCTTTTTTATCCATTGCCTGAATTATGCCTCCTACTTCCATAAGCAAAAAAAAATACATAGTGGAAAATGGAGCATGGAAAAATTGTTCTGTGAACACATCTGTTCTTTTTCAATGCATCTGCTTAAGAGTTTTTCTCTGCACAAAAAAGTACGTTACTTTCAGTAAGTATAGAGGGTTGTAACAAAGTATAACAGTCTGGTATGTAATAGCTTTCCACGGTCATACCAGAAGTAAGGTAATTATTAGATTCCCAGAGCTCATTTTGGTTTAAAATCTTACTTCTGCTTCAATAAGTATTGAATAATGAGCCCCAAACCCCCAAGTCTAAATCTAATTCTACCATGAGGTTTTAAAATTTTATTTTTTGTAGGTACAGAGTTTAACAGGAATCCTGTGACTTTTGCTTGAATGAAGGCTACCCTGCTGTGTTTGCTGAAGGAGGATTAGAGAAAAATGGTATTAATAAATTATGAAGCAGTTAAAATAAACTGCAGGCTAGCAGAACAACAGAGTACAAAATCAGCAAGACAAAACCTATACATTTTACATCTGTACAGCTCAGAATATGAAATAGATGTGCAGTGCCTGGGACGCATGCCTATGAAAGTGAACAATGCTGAGTAGCTGTGATCATTGCCAATGCATTTGCCAACATCTCAGGCAGAAGCAGAAAGATGACTGCTCTTAGCCCTTAATGAATTCAAGTGACACTAAAGACAGAATTTCTAGAAGGCTCATCTCATGGGACTGGTGCTAGCATAGTCAAGTCTAGTGGTATACCCACAGTATCTCTACTCTTTTAAGTTTTTAATTAACAGATGGAAAAAGAAGATGGAGCAGCACAAAAGGAATGTTTCTGAAGTTCAAAGTGTGTTTGGGTCTATTTCTGAAAAGAACTGTTTCCAAAACTGTCTTTCAAGACTGGAACTACTTGTAATGTACCCACGTCTTAGCATGTAACTCCATGTACTCGCTAACTGAGCAGTAAGAAAATTAGAACTGTTTGAAATGTTTCACCTAGGCATACATTTTGTCATAGTATTGAGCACCGGAGGAGCCAGTCAGACACCTATACATGGAAATGCGACAGGTGCAAAGCATAAGCTGTTTCACAAATCTTTGTGTGGTATAGATGCATTATTCTATAGGTATATTTCTGCTATGTGGTGAAGAGAAAACACTAAAGGATGGTAAAGTGGTAGGTAGTGTTAAGCTCTTTTGTTTTGTCAAGAAAGAAACTAAGAGCTCACAACTATACTGGCTTCTGCCAGAGAAAATTTAATGTAATAAAGAGATTTTGTGGTGTAAAACAAAACAAAAATCAAAAAAACCCCCAAACAAACAGAAGGCTACAAAGTTCATGTGCCTGTGGACACAGATATAGTTGCCATATTGCCTTTCACTGCTGTGAAAAGCATAACAGCATACATGAAAGAGCGCTTTAACTAGATCATTTCTTTTATAGTAAGTTAATTGCTTCATTAAAATTATATCTTAACTTTTATCATTATATTAATTTAAATGGCTTGTAGATATTCAGTAACTGTGTTTATGAAACAGTTGGTATGGGTCTCTCAGTAGCAGGAATCTTCATTAATCTGCAGATTAAATCTGCTATACTCTTTCTAAAGATTCACCAGAAAGAATTTATAATTTGTGGCTGATAATGAAAGTTCAACATTGTAGCTAGAGCAGCTTAGATAAAAATTGAGTCAGGACCTTTTATGCAGAACAGCGCAATTCTGTCAAAATCAAAATGATTCATAAAATTGATTTTGATTTTGTCAGTATGTTCTTTGAAGCCAGGGGGAAAAAGGGGAAGAAAAGAGACTTGAAAATGTTGAAATTTACAATTTTATCATCTTATAAAGGAAATGATTTAATAGTATTTGTTTTGAATTATCTATCATAACATAAAGTGCAGTCAAAATGGGGAAGGAATGCTCAGATGTGAAACTATATTTTTCATAAATATTAATTCTGTGAAGAGTTAGGATATCTTTAAAGAAAACCACATTTGAGAATCTGGAAAACCACCATGGATTGATTTCCTGCTGTCCCTTCTTAGCTCTAATTTTTATGTATAGTTGTATCTATATTATGAAAGTACATTCAAATTATAGACATTGTATTTTTACATATGTTTATTTTTAAGACCACTCTTCTGGCAGAACAAGATTAAAAACTGTCCTTGCACAACATTCAGGGGTGAAAGACCCTGATATCCATCACTTTCCACAAAATACGTTTCAACTTTGTAATGCCATGAGACATTATATATCTTCTGTTACTGCTCTTTGTCAAATGAGTTAGTAGACTGAGTAGTGACCCTTGTTACATGTGAACACACACACATTCTAAAACATCTTTGGCGATATAGATAAATTTTTAAAATTTTTAAAAAATTTAAATTTAAATATCTATGTGCAACTTTCAAAATTTAGTGCTACCAGATTTAGTGCTTTTGCTACCAGATGACAGTATCTACATTTACATTTTGGTTTGAACCACAGAGTGTTTTTCAAGTAATTATCCCAAATGTTTCCATTCTCACATTGGGAGGGGGAAGGGCATCAGAGACCACAAACTGGTTTACTTTTAGATGAAATTAAGCTGAAAAATACATGCCCAGAGTACTTCATTATATTGTACAATTTTTACTACATTTTATTAAAATTTTTTAAGAATAATTTGTCTTTGAAACCAAGTGAAAAATAAGTTTGTGTTTTAAGACTTGAATCATTATAAAAGAAAATAAACTTCTAAATATAATTAGGAAGCAAAAATCTATGATTTATCTTAGAAATAGCATAATCTAAGGGTGAAGGTTACATGTATATTCTGATCTAGTGCTAAGAAACACCAGAAAAAAAGAGGTGCCTTGAACTTGCTTTCATTTCATAAGTTGTTTTCAGAATGAAGTTTCTCTGTCCCTTAAAATATTTACAACTTCTGAGAAATATTAAAATTAAATTTCAAACTTTGCTTAAACGTGGATTGGAAGGTTAAGCAATCTCACTGAAAAAAAAAATTCCCCTTGTTCTTTTAAAAACCTTTTTAACTCATGCAAATGATATGTTTGGCATGCTGTGAATGCTCTTGCTAAATGCCATGTTTAATTTTCTCATTTTAAGAAAATCCTGAGACCATTTCAGAGTCTCCAAAGTAGTAAGATCATTTTGGATTGTGTGAACAGGCGTTTGAGGCTCTTGGTTTCACAATATGAACTGTTCATTTAGTTGTTTTATTCTGAGATTTTGATTAGTATGGGACAGACTGGCATGTGCATGCCCAGAATGGCCTCCTCTGTGATACAACTGAATGGTTTATCACTTACCTCATGCTATTCCTGACTGGATTTTCATTGTTTCCCCCTTTACTCTCCTGCAGCAACTACAGGTGGAATCTCCTCAAGATATGCAGAATGGTACTTTTTTCTTGAGCATGATGTTTGTGGTACTGACTCAGGAGAGGGTAATATCAGCTCTGTTCCCCCTTCCGATGGAAGTAGCATATCATCCTAGTACAAACAAATCAAGTATTTAGAGCAGGACTCAAATGCTGAACTCCTGACTACTAGGTCAGTAGCCATATCACTGAGCTATATGTACACTGCTTGTTTGTTTTCCTTGAGGCTTAAGGAATCTTGGATTTCTTGCCATACAGTGATAATTTACTTGGTAAAGACACAATCCTGTTTCAGAATAGCCTACCACTTCAAGTTGAAATCTAAATATTATTCCAGGGGAAAAGAAATTTCACCTACTTTACTCTCTGTCATCTAAAGCCAGAATGCTAATAAATTAAGACTACATATGTTATTTTTACAGTACTTCAACACCTTAGAAGACTTCAGTCTATGTACTGGAATGATTTTAGCAACTAAAAGTTATAAGGTTGTCAAGAGTATGGCAATGATAAAAAAGACAAGATATATTTGATTCTACACCTCTAGGAAAATGACCTGTATTTAGCCACCATGTGTATTTCAGTAAGATGTAAGAACGCAGACAATTTTTTTGAGTATCTGAAGAGTGCTTACTGTTCTAGCTTAATGCATCATATCCAAATCTACTTTGGGAGTGGCTGTGTGCAACCCATTCAGTCATTCCTCACTCTTTCACATATGGTAACATCTAAGTCTACAGTGGGCCATGACAGCATTTATATGTTCAGGCATTCATTGAAGGAAAAATATTTTGTTATTCTACCTTATGATCTCTCTTCCAATTACAGCATGTCCCTGCTGCCAAACAAACTGATGATAGCACATAGAGTTTAAATTAATGACAGGAGGTATCTTTTTATTTATAAGTAGTTGTGATGGGATTTTTTTTTTGTTGTTGTTGTTTAGGATTTTTAATAAAGGAATGAATATATGCAACTCACACATGACTTTGCTCATCATAACCCTGTTTGAGTGTATTAATTTTGATATAAAACACCCCTCCCCAAAACAAAAAGTTACTGTCTCAATATTAAAGCAGATTCACATATGTGGGAGAGAATGTGCTTCCTGCTACAGCATTTATATGCCACTACCAGAAGTTACCATCCACTCGTCCTCTCAAATGCTGCAGAAGGAGCCCAGATCACAGCAGAGAGATTGTGAAAATTTTGGAATAACTGCAAGTAGCAGCCTCCTGCTGCTGAATGTGACAGCTGCCCCTCCACTAGAATCACCACTAGATAAATTCTGAAAGAAATTTTTGGCCTCAGATGACTTTTCTGGTACCTCAAAAAATTATAGTGGTCCCACACCAGCTAAGAATCTAAAGAGGAAAAGGCTGTTTTAAAGCTGTCCTTTCAACTTTCTTATGGTTTTGCAATCAAAAGTCATTACAACTACTTCTTGAAATGGGAAACAGATAGTCTTTCACAGGACACACATGGGAAGGTTTTGGGCATTATGGCTAGTGGTAAAAGCCTTCTCAGCATATGTTTAGTGTTCATTTTCTTAGATGTCTGCCTATCTGCTTTACACAGCTAACTCATCATAGTGAACCACAGCTTGATCTGCAATGCCTGTATTTGCTATGCTGTTTTGTACATTAAATCAATATGGGCTACAAGTCTTTACCCCAGAGTATATCTTGAGCAGTTTGCTTAATGTGATTTCCTTCTAATATGCACTCTTGTGTTTGCTTGTAGCCTTTTACTTTCACATTTTAAAATGATCACAGCCTAAATCAGAGGAGCTGAAAACACATGACTATTCTCTTTAAAATGCAGAGCCATCAGGGTCCTCTCCTGTAGAGGGCTGATAAGTGCTTTAAATTTTTCAAATGTGGTAGAAATTGTGGCCTTTCACCTTTAGCCTTGATTAGGGTTGGGATTTAACACATGCTGCTTCTGTATTTTCTGTGATTAGATTGTCCTTGGGCAAGTTCATCCAGCATATTCTGGGCAGGTCAGTGATCAGTCATCTACAGGGAAAAGAACAAAACCAGGAAATATTCATAATTCATTATGATCAGACATTTAAGAGTACTCTAGAGAGATCTGCTGGTTGTGGGCATTTATTCTACAGTCTTATTATTTTACAGTTTGCTCTTCATGTTGGTCTTTACTATATGCTTCAGTTCTTTTAAGGCATTAGTATTTCCTGACTTTGCATACACAAGCCAGAGTTTAACTATCACCATATTTGCCTGTAGAAATGTTTTATTCTTTCAAATAATGTTCTCTGGCCTAAGAAAATATTCCTTTTTAAAAATAATCAGGCCAACACATGATCTCGAACTTAGTAATAACTGCTTAATATTAACAGCATTAGACACTTTTCTGCAAGATTTTAAGTGTGTTTTTTACAATGCAGTGAAGTAAATATACATGATTATGTTGCTGTATAAATATTTACAATTCACCATTCTCAGTTATAGAAATTCTGTCACTTTTTTTTCCTAACTTTTCTACCCCTAAGTTCTGTTTAAAGATTTAAAATTATGTTCTCAAACTTCAGGCTCATGTGTGTAGCTGAACACAAAGGAGTGAAATTTGCCTTTCTGCAGGGAACCAATGGGATTCCTATGTAACTCAAGTCCTGCTTAAACTCGACCTCAGAAAGCTTAACATTTCCCAGAATCACAGAATAGTTGAGACTGGAAGGAACCTCTAGAGACAATCTAATTCAATCCCCTTCTATAAAACCAGGGTTAACTAAAGCAGGTTGCTTCAGGTCATGTCAAGTTAGGTTTTGAATACCTCTAAGGATGGAGACTCCATAACCTTTCTTTGCAACCTGTTTCAGTGTTCAGCCACCCTCACAATAAATAGGCTTTTTCTAATGTTTTAAAAGAATTTGCTTTATTTCAGTTTGTTCCCATTAGCTCTTGTTCTTTCACTTACCACTGAGAAGAGTCTGGCTTCATCTCCTTTGCTTACTGCTGCAGTGGGTTGACCTTGTCTGGCTGTCAGATGCCCACCAAGGCACTCCATCAGTCTCCCTCCTCAATGGTACAGGAGGATAAAATAAGATAAAAAAACTCATCCATCAAGTTAAGGACAAGGAGAACATTCAGCAATTACCACCACAGGCAAAAGAGACTTGGAAATGAATTTAATTTATTACCAATCAAATCAGAGCAAGATAATGAGAAATAATAACAAATCTAAAAACAGCTTCCCAATCCCCCTTCCTTCTTCCTGGACTCATCTTCACTCTCGACATCTCTATCTTCTCCAAGCAATGCAGGGGGCTGGGAAATAGCTGTTGCAGTAAGTCCACAACACTTTGTCTCTGCCACTTTCTTATTCTCACTGTCTGCCCTTGTTTCAATGTGTGATCCCTTACACATGAATTTCTTCAACACTGAGTCCTTCTCACAGGCTGCAGTTCTTCACAAACTGTTCCAGTGTGTATCCTTTCCATGGCATGCTTTTTTTTTTGGGACAGGACTGCTCCAGCACAGGTCTCCCGTGGAGTCTCAGGTCCTGTCAGAAAACCCCCTCTGGATGGGTTTCTCTCCACAGGCAGCAGTTCCTGCCAGAAGTCTGCTCCAGCATGGACTTTTCAAGAGATCATAGCTTCCTTCAAGGTATATCCACTGGCTTAGTGTGGGGTCCTCCATGGGCTGCAGATGGATATTTATTCACCCTTGGATGATCATGGGCTGCAGAGAGACAGCCTACCTCACCATGGTCTTCTCCACACACTGCAGGAGAATCTCTGCCCGGCACCTGGAGCACCTCCTTCTCCACTGATATTGATGTCTGTAGAGTTGTTTCTCTCACATAACCTCACTTCTCTACAAAGAATGCATTTTTTTACTTTTTCTTTAATGTGTTATCACGGAGGTACTACCAGCATAACTGGTGGGCTCAGCTTTGACCAGCAGGAGATCTGTCTTGGAGCCACTTGGAACTGGCTCTGTTCAGTGTGGGACAATGTCTGGCATCTCACAGAAACGACCTCTATAGCCACCTTGCTGTCAAACCTTGCCATATAAAATCAATATACCTACTTCATGTATAAATATAAAAATTGCTCAAATTCTCATGAACCTCTTCTGCTTGAGTTTGATCAACCCCATCTCTCTCAGCCTCCTCCTGCATGTCAAATTCTCCAGTCTCTTAATCATCATCATGTCCCTTTGCTGGATTTGCCTCAGTATTTCGCTGTTTCATTTGGACTGAGAAGCCTCGTATTGGATACAGAACTGCAGTTGTGTTTCACCAGGCATGAGGAAAATTTCAAATATTCTTGTCTGACTAAAACTTAGAAGGCCACTGCATTATGCCATTTTTTTCTATTCAAAATCTATTCAGGATCATAGGATCACAGAATCATAGAATCAATTAGATTGGAAAAGACCTCTGAAATCATGAAGTCCAACCTGTAATCTATTATAGGATCTATTTATAGGATCTATTTAGCAAAATGGAAAATTTAATATGTTAAAGACTTTTAAAAAGACAGGTGAAAAAAATGTCTATCTTTCTTTAGACATTAAACATTAAAACAAAAGCCTACCTCTGACCTTTTTCTGATCCGTGAAGTCATGAGCCATCCAGTAAAGAGAATGATCTTCTCATTACGTTGGGACTGTTTCCCTCACAAGTGTAAAGAATAGTTCAGAATATTTCATGGAGTAGTTTCATAAAGACTTGGTGTTTTCATGAAGTCCAAAGTCCTCCCTGTTCATCTTGCTCTCCAGTCTGGATTTCTGAACTGGGTTTTGAATCAGAGACATTCAGTTTTCGAGTTGTCTGCTAATAGACACTCCTCTTCATTTCTGCAGCACTTTTTCTTCCATGGACAACTTGCAGTTGGTTCTCTATGCTGTAATGAATTTCAGTTTGTACTTTAGCGTACACAGTGAAGCAATGCTTAATATTTTTCTTCTGTTCAGATGTCCTGTCTTAAGTGTTAACATTAAATTTAGTGAATGTGAATAATATATAGCCACTGAAACTCAGTAATTCAACCTGATACAAACCTTTTATAATCATACTACCACTGTATAGGATGTTTGTAGATATTTTCACCTTCATGTGTGCATGTATGTTCCTTGTTGGGTCTACTGCTATAGCTAATAAAAATAGTCCACCATTTACATATTTTTTTGTTCCTGTTTACTTTGTCTTCATGAATAAGAATGCAAAAATATTGATAAACACAGATTTACTCGCTCTGTTTTTGAAGACACATACTTTTTTGTTAAATTATATTTTCGATTCAACAGCTACATTATTCAGCTTTGTGTTGCTTCCTTTTAATCTACAGGGAATAATCCTATTTCATATAGATGAATCAAGAATACAACCAATAGGATCACAGAATCATATAATGCTTTGGATCAGAAAGGACCTTCAAAGGTAATTTAGTCCAACCTCCTGTCATGGGCACCACACCTTCCACTAGACCAGTTTGCTCAAGGACAAATCCAACCTGACCTTGAACACTGAATATATTGTTTATATGCCAGTAATAACAGCATGTGTTATGTAACCTTAATAATACTGAGCAATTCTTTTTTATATTTAAAATGCAAAGTATTTTTAAAATATTCCTACAGTGGAGGAAATGAAACTTTTAATATAAGCATATTCAAAGTGTTTGCTACTCACAGTTGCTGTGTAAGGAAATTTGTTCTGTGAAAACAATAGACTCTCTTGCAACTACCATCCTTTTCCCCAGTTTCTGATTATTTGCAAAACAATAAATATTTGGGCAGAAGTTAATTGCTTCTATTCAATCATTTGACACATTCTTCATTACTTTTAGAGCATATGAGCCCTTCATCCAGTAACAGGTACAATTAAGACTGATGAAATCATTAGACGTGTTGTAAACATTCAGTTTATCCATATAGAGTTTGGCAACGTCTTAAAGGTCTTCTGTCAAATTCATTCGCTGTTTAATTATTTGTTGTTGATACTGAACAACAATATGATCACTATCATTTGTCATTACACTCTAGTGCAGGCACAGATTTTTCACTGTATGGCTGCTGGTTCCAAGAAGGTTTCAGTTAAGTGAATGGAAGAGTTAATAACATCTCATGAAAGTCTGCAGTTTCCTTGTGAAATAAAACAACTATTTTCTTAAGATTCCTGAAGAATAGCAATGAATACTGTAACTGATGAGGACTCCTAACCAAACAAAGTTAAATTTTGAGGACTAGAACTGTCACTTGTTGCTGTTGAAGTATTTCTAAATGAAAGCTCAAAAGGCTCAAGACGGTTGTCTTGTTTAAAGAGAATGTAGAAATGACATGTGCAAACGTACCTTCAGTAACTTTTATTCTGTGATTCAGCTACAGAGTCTTGTTACATTTTGTATTTAGCAACTTATCTGAGAAAGTAGATAATCTCTGATATCTTCCTTGATTAGCTCATTAGGACTAAAGAAATGGAAAAATAATGCTGCGTGATGGTAATCGTGCTTGAAATTTATAAGCCATCTATATTCTCACCTTTTCTGTTATCTGTGAAGCATTTCCTGTGACTTCTCGTGTGGTAAATGCTAGTCATATTTATTATTTTCGATTGCGAGCAGAATATAGTTTTTTTGGACTGTATCAGCAGTGAGGACAACAGCAAAACTTGGAGTTGATAATTTTTTCCTAGATTTTTCTAGATTAAACTTTTTTTTTAACCTATTCTATCCCTTATAATAGAAATAAGTAAAACAAGTATAAATACAGAATACAAGTGTGTAAGTATGGAGCATGCTCAGTAGGCAAAGGTTCTTTGTGGCTGATTTATAAACTTTTCCTCTCATGGGTACACCTTTCCTCACACACAGATGGTTGATTTAGTTATGCACACCATCTATACCATATACTCTACTTTAAAATTTACACTCATGTTAACTGGAAGTAGAGAGAGGCACAAGAAGATGGGGATTTGAGATCCTTATTTTCAATCCATGCCAGTTGCCATGTTTGTGTCTCTGATCCTCTTCCCCACAAAAAAAGAAGGTGAGCTATAGATCCCCTTTCCTTAGTTACTTCCTTGTTCAATTTCCAGCTTTCCCTCTAAATTGAAAAATACCTTTCAATGAAAGGACCTTCTCTACAAATGTGGCTTGTTTTTTTTCAGGGAAGAAACATGTATAAAGCCATTGTTTGAATGTTAATAGAAAACAATTATGCTGCTTTCTGGGTCAATTTCTGTATTTTTTGGCTTTCTACACAAATGCACTTGCAGTCATTTTCAGCTGGGTCTTCTAATGCCTATACCCCTGAGCTGCTTTTCATCACAACTCTAAAACTGTGTGAAATCAATGGAAATTGTGTTTATAATACTCTCAAAGGTCTTGTGAGGCTTAAATAATTAACATTTACAAAACACTTCAAAATCTTTAGCTTAAAAGATGAGGTGGCTGGTCTTAAAATCTAGGACATGTCTTGAAATCTTAGACAATATTACCTAATGCTTACAGCATTTCTTTGAGCTTAGATGTGTGTTTTATACCTGGTTATAGAAATCCTATTAAATGCAAAATAATAACAACAGGTTCATCTGAAAGCAGTCAGTAAGAGAATTTTGTACAGAGAGGCTCTACTCAGTAGATGTAGTCAGCAGCAGTGAGACTTAAATGGGCTACTTTTGTTCCCTCAGAATGACTCATAGCTTTAGCTGAAACACATTTGCCACATTGATCCAGGGTTGCTTCTTACTGGGAATGCTCAGTGTGAAAAGATTAAATCTCCCTGTACCACAGTAGCCCTTTTATAGAAGTTAAAACTTCTGCGACTCATGATAGGAAGCAGAGTATATTAGTCTGGGCAGAACTATCTTAATGCACTGCTTCCGCTGTACCTGGAGTGGTAGGAGGATGTTTGGTAATAAGGGGACTTGCACATCCTTCTTCCTCCCCTCCCCTCGCTGAAATTCTAGCCCTTTAGGCACTCTTCCTAGCTACTGCCAGGGATCTGCTGTTTCTCTTGACTGTGTGTCCGTAGCAACCGACAGCACTCAGGCTTTTTTTGTTCCTATTTTGATTATGTCCTGTTTTCCACACTCTACTGCAATGCTGAAAATACAGCTTTCAAGAACTAGGCTGGTTATCTTAACACTACACATTGTAGGTATCAATGTAGACATCAGTGTAGAAAGGATTCACTTCACCTGGCTTCAGATGTATGCATCTGAATTTGTCAACTCCTCTTACAGTCATTGCAGAGAAAGGTATGATTACAATTCTGATAATGAATGAATTATCAGGCCTCCACTTAATGGTGAGGTGAAACACTTTTTAGAATTACTCCTAGAAGGAATGCAGAGGAAATCTAGACAATTAAATATAGGAGTTGGACTAGATAACTGAAGGGGCCAAAAACCAGCTCTCAGCAAAGAGAAGCTTGGTCAATTTGAACGATAAACCTTGGAAAACAAGGGCTGACAAGAATCTTGTGATGTGAAGAAACTGGGCCCTTATCATAACACCTATTAAAGAACAACCTTATGGATTACCCTGGCACCAGCAGAATGAAGAAAGGACTTTTTGAAATTTTGTTATCAAACCATGTTTACACCCATGTAATCCTTCCCCTCCCCATGTAATCCTGCTTGAAGAAAAATTAACTATTTGGAAACTGCAGTAAAACCTTGTGCAACTCCTTAATTAACGTAGCTGGTTCTCCTCATTAACATGTCCAGCCCCCGAGGCCCTTAAAATTGTGTTCTCACGTTCAATAAACTATTTCAGTTTCTGCTTTATACTGGAATCATGTTTAGTTTTTCAGACCATCACAGATAACCTTTAAAGGTCCCTTCCAACCCAAACTATTCTTTGATTCTATTGATTTTGCTCATATGCTTCCTACCTTAAATGACAAAAATTATTGTGTGATTCTATGATGTGGCTCTATTGGCTGTGACCCAAGGAGATCAGCCATGTCTTATATCTGCCTCAGTATTTTCATTTGTATATTATCATGAAAATTGCAATTCTGAAACTGAAAGCATCATTAAAAGAAGCACTGGTGGATGATGGGGAGTAGGAGTGTCCATGTATTTGCATTTGTGCTGAAAGACCAATGCTCTCATGGTGAAACTGGGCTTTTTTTTTCCATGGGATCACCTCGTATTGCAGAGCTGATTACTTTAAGTGAAAAAAAATTAATTTTGATTTTAGTTATTTGTACATTTTTTCAAATGTATAGCAGCATTTAGCTGTTATTGTCTCTTTCAGCAGTATTTGATACTAGAATTTTCAATAACTTGATTCACAGCAGGACTTGCTTATACACTCATAATCTGGTTTGACTCATTTGCTCTTATCTGCAATAAGATACATTCATCTAATACAGTTTAAGTTTTTGCACAGCTCAAAGAGCTTTTGTAAGTCTTCTGTGCTTTTAATATTTAGATTCTATCCTTAGGATTGGTTTCTCAACAGTGTGCCATTGTTTCCTTGGGTGGGTTAATGACAGCCAAATCCATTTTACACTTCCTTTTGATCTTACAGTGCAGTCTCATCCTATGTAATGACCTCTATTATGTATAATTTTGGATGTCACATATCTTAATGAAGTTAAAATGGTTTGCATCTCTTGGTTAGCTATGGTGTATTAGCATTTGTAATGTCTTCCAATGAATGTTGTCCACATTTTTCTGGCAGATGAAGTCGATTTTTTTTTCATGTTCTACTCGTATGTCCTGTAATCTTGTCACAGGCACCTGTGAAGTCTCATATTGATTTTAAGGTGCTTAATAAATCACAAAGCCCAACATCTGAAATATCTCTTAACATTTCTTCTTGACCCTCCATTGTCTTATATTTCCAGCCATTTAGGCAGAGCTATAGCTGATGATTATATGTCACTGTGGTAGTCCTTTTTCAAAGTTCTTTTTTACCATATTTGGGTGGCAGAAACATCAGCTTTAAAGGGATTTATGTTTCATTGCAGTTCAATTGAGTTTTGAATGACAACAGCAGTGAAAACTCCTTTCTTGTTTCTTACTGTAGCCCTGAGTATACTGTTTCTCAGAGCTACCCTGGATATCTCAATATCCTGCAGTGTAGATGTTAGAACTCATCCCACATAACAGTAGATACGCATGCAGAATTTTATGTTTACACCAATTCAATAGAAACTGTTTCACACTAGTGATAATGGTTGGTGTTAGCAGGTCTCATTTCTTGATGAAATTTTAAAGCCAGAGCTTTTGAAACACAATAAAGGCAGCAGATGTAATGTTATGTTTAGTTAATCAATTAGTATGCCTATAGAAAGATATAATATTTAAAATTAGTAGAATTTTCCTTCTTGCTGCCTTGTGCAGAAAATTCACAACAATTAATAAATAGACAAAGATCTCAGTAAGCGGCTAGGTACAGAGATCAGGATGCAAAAACAACCCAGAGAGTAGTCTAAATACTATACTGTGCAGGAACTCTCACTAGCTTTTCCTCTCCATCTCTGTGAAGCCTGAGTCAGCTGCATAGTAAATTATATTCACAGCGTAGTGAGGTTGAGCACACATGAGGTACAAAATTTCAGGTAGTCATCCTAGCATAGGTATTGGTTTAAAAAACAAGGGATAGGACAATAATCCCCACCATCTGTAACATTCTGAGGGTATTGGTAGATGGAACTCCCAACACTGAGAAGGCCTGCGGTATGTCTGAATTTGCGCAGGAATAGCTGTTTCTTAAGGAGGCTTTTCTTTCTTCAATACAGAAGAGATTTCCTGTACTACCAATCCTTTTCTTTCTCTCTTTTTTCTGTTATGATAGAAAAAATTGCAATGAGATGAGAAAATTTCTCCAGCTATTTTATAGTCTGCAATGTGTCATTTATGAATCAGAGAAAATTACTTCTGTTTGTCACCTCAAGTGTTCCATCCAGCTATCCACATTTTTCTGGTTGTGGTCACTATAAAACAGAATACCTCTATTAATATATTCTTTCCTTTATAATATCTCTGTGTAGTCGGATAATGTCACTACATAGAGAGCTAAGAAAAAGAAAGAATGAAAGTAGTTTCCCAAAACACTTGGAAAATTTTTCATTTCCAGAAGTAAATTAGGTACCAGAGATTTACATTTCATTGCAGGGCAATGCTGTGTAGCATCTTAAGGAACCTTTGAAAATTTTACTTCTGGTGATCAGAGGAGGTATGGAGTAAGTATATATATATATGGAGAATTGAAATCATCCTTACTGCCTTTAGGTGATTTAAACTTAAATAAGAATTTTTGGCTGAAAATGTAATGTTGAAGTCTGACATTATCTCTTAGTTTACTCGTTATTTATATATCACATACATTTTCTGGGTCATATGGCCTTCCGCTTCTACACAGAATTGAAAGACTAATTGACAACTTTTTTCCTGCCATTTGTATATTTTCATATTTTAAATTATGATTCAGGTTAACTTTTTTACTCTTATTTTATGGTCTATATTTTCCTTTTCTAGAGTTATGCTTGTTTTGGATTAATTGGTTTATGATTTTCCCCCCACTCCCTCTCTAAGTAGTCATTACTTTTTACTGTTTGCTTTTCTGCTTATTGAGTAAAATCCAATTCCTACCGTGCAGGTCAACAGTTTTCCTGAGAGACAGAAATTGCTGATTATTTTTCCCACAAAAATCTCAATCATACACTGATTACACACTTACCTCTCTGATTGTTTTGGTCCATCCTGCATTTCTCTCTGAAAACTCAAATGACTCTCAGGCCTCATCTGCTAGTGAAAAGCATTAGTGTCAAGAGTGTATCTCTAGATCTTAATGTTCACTACTCTTTCTAGAAAATGTCAGAACCTTTATATAATTAACATGTGGGGAAACTTCTCTCTGCTCAGGGTTATTTGCTTCTGGAAAAGCAATGTCTGATTTCCTTTCAAAGCTACTGATAACAATTTTCACCCACTTGCTAATAAAATCTCTATCTTATATCTCAGAGGAGAGTGGTGACAAATCAACACTTGTATTATTCAGACTAGTTAATTAAAAGAGTGATTTATCAATTTAAAATTCCAAATCCCTTTTTCTTTTTTTTTTTACCTTTGTTGCTTAATTATACAAATGTAAATCCACCTTTAATAACCATATTTGTCCATCATCCAAAGCTCACAATGTCCTTGGTGATCTCAAATTCTATGATAAATGCCCTGCAGGCAGTTTGATAAGTTGGACTTTACACAATAAAATCACGTTGTTATTGTCATCCTCACTGAAACATTGTAGTTTTATCCTTCCAAAATAAAGCTTTAATAGTCTGGGCAATACAAAACTGCACAAGACATTCCAGTCCCACTCCTGAGAGCATTTTAAACCAACTCATCTACTGACACCATTTATATATCCTCCTCTACGGTGGAGAGTAAGTTATATTTCCTGTCCCCACAGAGAAAAATGTAATAAGTCAGACCCCATTCCAAATTTCCTATTGCACATCTGATTTAAGGTTAAGTAGTATGCAAAGGAGCATTGAGTCTGTGCATTATTTTGAATATTAATTAAATTAAAAATAGGAAGTAATATGATGCAGGTTCATGGTGTTAGAAATATCTGTTCTTTCTCTCAGAGCCATATGCTTGCCACTGTTGCTGTGTGGGCAGGCTGGAGAAGGTGCAGCCTTAGAGCTGAAATTTTGTGATTTCCACACACCATTCCAGGCTGCAGAATACAGGCAGATTTCATGTAGTGTATATCAGACTAGAGAAAGAGAAATGTGAATGGCTTTTTTGTTGCTGCATACTTCCTCAGTTTTTTCTCCAACATGAGAGCTGATGGCCAGCTTCCATCAACTGCACCATCATCTTCTTCAATGCGAACCCATCAGCTGTGTGCAGGGTGAGATTGTGCTACGCAGGGCAGCATATCAGGACATTCTGCGGCAATTTCTAATACGCAGAGTGTAGTGTGCAATGTTTTCTTTACCCTCTTCTTCTTTTTTTTTTTTTTTTTTTTCAGTTGTCCTATCAGGACATACAAGTTACAGCAAAGATCCTAGAGGCACTTTTTGGACTGAGAAATATTCCAATTCCTGTTATTAGGACTATCACATCTTCTTGATATTGCAGTACTTCTGTTCACACTATCCATCATGAAATAGGAGAAAGATGAGCATTTCTTATAATTTCTAGGCAAGAGTAAGTTAAAAGAGGCAAATTTGGAAGTGATGCAATCTATGGCTTGTTCCTGTAGAACGAGGGAATTTGTGCAAGTAACATTTGATTTCCAGTCAGGACTCTTCTAAGCATTGCTTTTGGGTAAGAAACAGCAACATTGCCTTTGTGTTCCTATTTCATGTTACTAATTAACATGGTAACTGTCATCAAAAGGCCAGTAGGCATTGATCTGTTCATCTCCCAAAGTGATTAGCAACATGAAATTTGCTAATAGGATCTACCTGAAACAGCACCAAAAAGCAGAAAGGCCAGTTTCACCTATGTAACAATTTAATGTAGAAGAGCTGTCACATCCAAAGGGTGACTGTTTAGTTCTCTTATTGAATAATACTGATATTGTAACTGTACACAAATGTTGTATATAGCTCTTCTTGCAATGAATGCAGACCCTTCATTAACCTAGCATAAGTCTGCAATGCTAAATCCTTCCATACGAAAAATTTAATGACAATACTTAGATGAACTGCTCTGAGTAGGGTTATGAATACTTGCTAATTTTGTTATGAAAGTGTTTGAAGAGATACCATGATTAGATAAAATGGATGTCAATAAAATAAAGAGAATCTGTTAAAAAATTTCTTTTATTTTTAGTATTTCTATTTCTCATTCAAGTGGAAATGTGAAAAAGAGACCTTGTGTATTTATCTCCACATGTATGAGAGAGAGAGAGAGAGAGAGGAAGATTTGACTGAATGATGACTTCCTAGAAAGAAGGTGACAAAGATTATCTATTTGCCCAGATTCATTTCACAGGACATTTTCCATGATAAAAGAAGCTAAAGAAAATGTAACTGTCATGTACAGTTCTCCCACTAATTTCTTGTAATAACATTTAGGTTGTGATTGGGTCTGTTAGTAAGGTAGTTGTGGGATGGAATGCGATAAAAAAATAGTATTTTCCCAACATTTCATAAGCGGTCGAGAAATTCCTTCTTAAAATCCATGATACTTAGACAACAGTAATTTTTAAGTGTTGAAAAGGTTCTCCACAAAATAGAATATTGAAACGGTATAATTTGCATAATAATAGTTTGATTTACATATTTATTATTTTAATTTCATTTGCCACAAACAAAATGTTCTAACCTGGTTACAGGATAATCTCTAACCTTCTGTTGTTCTTCGTTAAGTGAACACACAGACACACGTACTGGCCTTTATCTACATTTCATAGAATGTGTTCGCCTTTTCGACAAATGCATTTCTTGATTCCAAAAAAGAGATTTACTGGGGGAAATCCCAAGAAAAAAAAAGAAAATAGTGACCTTTACAGTTTTCTGTTTAATTGTTCCACATTTATTTTTTGTTGTTGAATTGTGAGGTCTTCTCTGGGGTGTTTATATTGCTCTTTATCATATCTGAGCTAAAAATTATGGTTAAAAATGCAAAAGTTAGCAATTGCAGTTTTTGAACAAAATGTTTTAGTGATGGTTACTCATCTTTATGTTTAATGGTTTGTTAGTTTTGAGCTATGAAAATACGTCCTTCCATAAATAAATTAATTCAAAAATTTCAAGCTTTTTCTATACATTAATATTTGTAGCTTTAAAAATTAGATGAAAAAAGCAACATTGGGGGAAAACAATCCCCAACATAGGAATTCCTTGTCTAATGTTGAAATGTCACTGTGTGTAATAGTAATCTAAATGCTAGGGTAGAATCAGGAAGTAAATATGATTCTCTTCTTAACATTTCGCTGTCTTATGTCTCCATCACTGTCGTCATCAAGTAGGAGAAGAGATATTCAGTAGTAGCAGGCAATAGCAATGATATAATAAGAAAGTACAGATGGAAATTCTCATACTAAGACAAAGGGAGTGCCAGAGATCTGAAGACTCTTCCCATGAAGTACTTAGAACAGTGACTCCAAATAGGAAATATTTCAAGTTTGGAATATCTTTGTTTAAAAAATTAAGTGTTTTTTGTTGAGTGGTCTGTAGGAAGGGAGAACTACTCCTTTTTAAAGCTAGAAAATAGTCACATATGTTTCTTTAGTCATAAATGCAGGGGTTTTGAAACTAAACTCCTCATTTGCTGTGCTTCTTATCTTGGCCACAGAACTTTGTTAATGCAGCAGCCTTTCTTTCTGTTCTGTGTTCATCCTGAACACCTTTGCACTGCTGTTCCCTGTTGTGACATCAAGTGTCTTTGTCTTCTTTGTGCAGTGTGAAAAGGTAGGAGGAATTCAACCTGGAATGGGGTCAGCATATCAAGGGATGAGCTTCATGACCACCACCAATGCTGGCAAGAACCTGTCTCTGTGGTCAGGCACATGCCCCGGTCCCCAGCATGACACTCCAAATTGCTTCCTCAATACAAGAGAGCTGAGCAACACTTACACTTTCCAGAATGAAGTTGTCTATCTTTTAGCATCTAAAAGTACATTTGTATGATGCTTTGTAGACAGATGTGAACAAATCTAATTACCTCATGCAAAGTGTCATGATAACTGTGATGCAAAGCCTGTAGGGAGAAACTGGTTTGTATACAGCAATCTTGGAGCATGGGTGGATTAGGATCAGGATTCAAAAGGCTTTATTGCTATTTAGTCTCTACCCCTACTCCATCTATACTACTTCTCCATTTTATCAAGAGTTCTGGTCTCATAAAAAGCGGTGAGTTTAAAGGCATTTTTATAGGGTATCTAAATTAATCAAATATAAAGAACATAACAGTATGGTTAAATCCATTTGTCACACTTAATACTGAAGGATTCCTAAGACACTTTCAACAGTGACATATATCCCAAAGAGATAATCCTTCTAAGGAAGAAGTGGTCCATTAGGGGAAGATTGAACTTTGGAAACAGGAAGACAGACAGATATGTCATTATTTGAATGACCTTAGTACCTTAGGAGAGTTAGATACCAACAAAGAGGAGATGAAATAATAATAATAAAAAAAAACAAACCCCAAAAAACTAAGAAGGAAAAGTTATTTAAAGCCTGTAAGGAACAAAGCACAAAGTAATATATTTCATCAGAAATATGTAAATGTATTCTGAATATTCTTCTAGAAAAAAAAAGCACACTTTTTTTGAAAGAAAATTCTTCTCCTATAAATTCATCATGAGTTCAGTATCTAAATTAATGTTATGACAAGGGCTTCAGGTGTCAGGATTTCCTGCAAAGGAAATTATTTTAACCTCAATCCAGAAATCAGAGGTTATGATGGGAGACCGTGCAGGCTTGATGATTAAAAGAGGATTCAGATAAAACTGTTTCTGAACTTCACTGCAAATTTTCTAATGAAATGACAAAGCTATCTTTCCTTTAAAAAGTGTTTCTGACAAAGTTCTGTATTTGAGGTTAATGACATGTCTACCTGGCTGGAGTCTTTGAAAAAAAGTGAAAAGTTGGCTGAGGACATGATGTATGAAGAAAGGAAACAAAAAGAAAAATAATTATAAATACTTATTCCCATGTTGGCAGAACTGCTAAATAATAACATTTAAATGAAAGGAACCCTCTGTACATAGTTATATCTTGTCCATGCCCAGCACCACTGCAGTCAGTGGAAGCCTTACCTCTAATTTCAGAGGACATAGAAAAATCAAGAGAAATTTTACTTTCAGTGTAATTATAATGTGGTGCTAGATATGCACTGTAGAGTACTTGTATATAGGAGACAACCACTCTAGAAACTTCAACTTACCATTTAGATGGTAAATAGCATGTGTTTCTTCTTACATTTTTTAATACCTTCATGTTGATACCACAGAGAGAAAGTTTCTAAGCTTCAGGGAAATTAATCACATCTTCATTACAATATTTCCTGCAAGGAAGTGCCCTAATTCCTATAAGGAAGCAATGTGACAAAGCATGCTTTTCGTGGTCCTTATAAAAATTGCTTCCTATCAGCTGAAAAAGCTGTTGTTATTGGTACCAATGAGTATAACAACTGATGCTGCTTTCATGAAGACGATTATGAAAGGGAGGGCAGCCTTATGAGACACCACTATAACCTTTTTTTCCACCCAGTGCTTACCGGGTAGAACAAAATTAGCAAATAACATGTTTAGGAAACTCTTGCCTCTTAATCTGTAAAGGACTTTCACATAAACAATTGTTTTTAACACTACTTACATCTACAAGTGACTTTTTGTAAATATGTTAAGGAATAGTTCGTATACAAAAAATTTTTCTGGACAGTTTGAGATTGTTTCTCTAGAGACTGTGAGGAACATGGATTTGAGCTTAGTGATTTGTTGTGCAGAATTTTGTGGGTTATTCTGATGTTCTGTTGTTCAAACTGTTAGAGAAAGTATTAACTTCAAACCATTGTTTGGGTATACGAGTGTCAGGCAGTCTGCTAAATGTCAAATCCCATTGACTATAGTTGGTATTTGCATGAAAGTATCCAAGTTACTGGAATAATTTCCTTTTTCCTTGCCTGTCAAAGACTTTTGGAGAGTGGAAATACATAATCTGAAACTGTTTTCATGGCATTTTTATGTCATACTCTCTAAAATCCCTCAAGAGCATGTCCACTTGTGGCTCAGTTTCTCTATTCTCAATGTTTGTTACATTATATCAGCTTCCCTAAAGGTTCTATTGCCTCTGCCTGCAAACATTGGCTCATATATCCCCAAACTATCATGATTTCCATGCTACCCCAACCATTCTTTGCTTATATCTATTTAGTAGCTTCAAACAAAATATCAGTCTCTTCTCTCTCCACTTCTCCAAAAATAGTGAAAAAATATATAAAGAAAACCTTATGATACAATTGCTACCTTGGGTAGAATGAGGTCTGTCTGATATGATAATATGCCCTGTATTCCCAAGTTATTTCCAAATCTAGCCCATTTTTGGTTATTTTAAGAATATTCTACTTGTCACTCTTCCCTTATACATCCAGGTTCTGCCAATTTGTCAGGCTTGCTTTATCTGCAGGTTGTCTGTTATGTCAGCCCACAAAATAACATGAATACAATGCTGGTTTATATATAGTAATGCAGTAATACATTTTAAAAATATACCGGCTATACAATAATTGTATGTGTCCAAGATAGCTTTCAATTGCTACAGGAAATAGAAAATGACAATGGTTTTATTACATTTCTGTTGAAGATCTGAAGTGTGCATACAAGTACCATTCTTCTTCTTAAATCTTTTGAACAAAAATCAGTTGTTCTTATCTTTTATGAATGAATATATGTGGGAAATGTAATCAAATAGAGTGAAATTGCATCACTGTGAAGTTATAGCCTGAGCATCCCTCCAGTTCCTGCCTAATACATATAACAAGAGGGGACATACAAGTTCCTGAGGACTTGATCACAGACACATTTTTTTCAGGAAGCTTCAAATCTTTATAGGAATAATACACTTCTGTTGGTTAGCTTGCTGACATAATGCAACCAAGGGTTGCAAATACATAAAGATTTCCTCAAAGGACTGCAAGAATTAGTCTGAATGAGAAAACCAGTTTCCATTGTAGTAAATTTAGAAAAATACAGACAAAATGTAAGGACAAATGTTGCATTTCTATTTGTATTCCTAGTGCAGGGAACAATTAAATTGTGTATTTCGAAAATTCAGTTTTATTGCAAATATGTGGTGTTTAACTAATTATAGATGCCTTGTGTGGTGGTGTAATTTCCCAAAATCAACATCTAATTATATATTTTTACTCATACTAATGACAAGTTCAAGAGAGCTGGAAGATTTCTTCAGTAAAAAATGAAGTTGGAGAGTGAGCAAAATCATAGCTGTTTGACACTGGGTAGCTTACCTTCAATCCCAGCTGGAGGGAACAGTGAAATAATGCAATTCCAAATACCCTTTTCCTGGGTTTTCTATTCCTTTTTGCTGCCTGTCCTTAGCTGGATGTCTGGTAAAGCAAATTCAGCTATTACTCCCCATACTTGCATCCTTAAAAAGAGGATGTTCAGTGATTAAAAATGTTCAAAGCAGACAGTAGATGAGAGTGAAAAATAATTGGACTAGGATATTGATTAATGCACATTTTTGTATTACTGTGGAAAATATCATTTGGTTTTGATCACTCACAGACAAAAGCTTTCAGCTTATCTCCTCTCTCCCTGTTTTTCTTACTGTATCTTAGGTGTTATATTTTTTGTTAAAAATCACATTTTATTTTCATTTCTTTGATGTTAGTATTCATGAGGCAAAGAATGTGTTAATATCATTGTTATCTTGTTTTAGATAAAGATGGATTTGAAACAATTGATTCTCTGTAAGGAATATAATACTCTATGTGGTTGGCTGCTCACAATGCTTCTGAGAAAAAGTTTATTAAGGATATTGAGATTTTATGAAAAAATATTCTGCAATATGATGTGGTTATATTTTAGGTTTTTATTTATAAGGTTCCCAATTGATATATTTTGTTTTTCATACATTCCTTATCGAATCCTTTGGAATCTGGATTGCATAGATAAAACTGCAGCTACTCTTGGGAAGAAAAATCTAGACAATGACTTAGCAACCAAACTTATAGTTAGTCCTATGTCTTTTAAAACTAACAATGATTTCTAAACAGTTTGATAGCTTCCAGCTTTGGCAAAAGTAATATAAATGACTTTGAATTAGTTTCTCTTGGTATTTATAAGCATAAATTTTACACACAGTTTTATCACTTAACCATTTTCAATTATTAAGTATTCACAAACCAAATAGGCTTAAAGTGAAAACTTACATTCAGTAAGCACTATGTATGATTATTTTTCACTGCATACTAGTGAATGTTGGGGCAGATGGGGATCTAGTATGGACAAAACAAGATTTTTTCGGGGAAAACAAGAACAATAGTATATAAATATTACAAAAACTACCAACACAATAGATTGGTATTCATTTCCATGGATGTATCACATAGTCCCTTTAAAAGACCAAATGACTAGTCATTATTTTGGTAGAGACTCTGATTACTTAGTTTCTTTCTGTTTCCTTTGCAATCACATAAGCATTGTGACGATAACAATGAAATCTGCAGACAATGGATACAGAATGTGATACATAGCGAGCTTATCAGCAGACATTCTGGAGGAGACATGAAAGTCTCCTTTAGCAGAGTTACATGTAGCAATTCTGAACTTAGCCAAAGGCGACACTTTTGAAGAATGGTATTTGCCACCTACTAAGCTAGAGGCTTAGTAATACATGTGGATAAGTATTAGTGTCTTGCCATCTGCAGTGTCGAATCTGTAATTCATAGGTGTTGACATGGGCCAAGGACCACTTCCAGAGAACAAACTGAGTGGGTTGACACCAGTTCAGAACTA